CCCCAAAACCCCAAAACCCCAAAACCCCAAAACCCCAAAACCCCTGGCAAGCAAGATAAAATTGTATTAATTTTAAATAGATAATATGGGAGGATCCAAAAGCTACGGGATAAATTGCGAACAATTAGACTTGTCATATCTGGGGCTTTGCAAGGCACCAGACCACACTGCATACTATTTCTTGAATGAAGATCATGGTCTTTTTACTCTTCCACAGGAGGATTTTAACCGGGTCAGGGAAGAGTATTCGCACTCACGCACCAAAAACCTTCAAACTCCGCTTCAAGTGATTTGAAAATACAATGGATTAGTGATGGCAGAATTTAAGGATGATGACAATGAGGTCAAAATCCATTATTTAGTAAGTTTATCAACTCAGATATGCGCTTTATGCTCTGGTTCTGAATTCCAACAATTCCTTTATTACTAGTAAATCTTGTACATATGAGAAATGATGTCATAGAGGGTCAAATATTCAGGAATTTGGTACGAAAATCGAGTTAGGGTCAGAATAGGAAAAGGATTTATTACCTGCCCAAAATATAATTTCAAAATCATTCCAAGGCAATTGTAGGGGGTCCTAGCTCCTTCTTGGCTTAACTTCTGTCTTATAGGCACAGGATTTACTCTATCCGCTAGATAAGCTAACTGTCAATTTTTTGGTGGCGGATGAATATGAGGCAGCAAAGGAGAGACTAAGAAAGTTGACCAAATTATGATGTAACCACTTTCCCTAGGCTAATCTCTATAGATGGGAATAGGAAGCGGAACATTGCAATTCTGATAAACCCAATCAGTGGGAAACAAGAGTCATATAATATCTATAAAACAAAATTGAGGCCCATGCTTAAAGTGACCAGAATGAATTACAAAGTTTTTAGTATGTATTTTATCTTAACCTATTACAGAAACTGATGGCCCAGATTTCATAGATAAATGGGTATCCAGACTTAAGTTCAAGCAGAAGACTTATGAAGAGAGAGAAGAGACTTTAGAAGAAGAGGATCAAGAATCCTCTCTTATATGAGAATACACTGATATTGTTGTGATTGGAGGTGACGGACTGTTAAGTCTGTATTTGAATTCATGTTATAAACACCACTTCTTTAACACTCTTATTAAAATACCAATCCTTATTCTTCCAGGAGGGACTGGAAATGCTCTTTCCATGGACCTTGGAGGGAAGAATATATTCAATCTATGCATAAAGTTTCTGAGAGGAGAGACTGTTAAGGGCGACCTTATCAGAGCAGACTTCATGACTTCCAAAATATCAGTCCTTTGAACAGCCTTCTGCTGGGGCTTTGTGTCAAAAGTTATAGAAAAATCCGATAGCTGGAGAGGGTGCCTTGGTGCATCCAGATACACTGTGTGCGGGGCCAGAGAAGTGTTGTGAGCTGGAGGTCCTTGGAGTATGCGAACACACCAGTTGTCAAAAATCCAGCACAATGTGAGCATATCCGAAGATATTTGTAAAGTTTCCTCCACTCAACCTCTAGAGGAGGTAAAAGACCAGGAAACTGATGTGAGTTTTAGCTATTAAGTCTATAGGAATCCGATAATTTAGAGACTTCTGCAGTACCTATTATTGAAAAGCATGACATTAAAAGTGATAGAAGCTGTTACACTAACAGTGGTAGTTACAAATTGATCAAAGAAGCCTCTATGAATGGCAATATGATCACAAGGGGAGAATTTGACTTTAATCAAGAAATATTGCAAAGCCAAGATAATCAGAATATGGAAAGAATGTCCCAACTTGGTGCAATTATTGATCAGAGAGACGAAGTTGACTGGACGAATATTGATCTTAGCGAGATCTCCATTATGGTGTTAACAACCCATGAATGTCGAAGGAGCGGGTCAAAAGAAGTATTCGCTCCATTCACTAGAATAAACGATGGAAAGATGTTCTTATGTGGGTTCAAAGAATGTTCAAAGCTCGAGATGCTCATGATGATGGCGAAGGTGTCTACTGGAAAGGGCAATCAGGTTAGAATGTCCAAGTACTTTCATCAAGAAGTTAAGCAAATCAGAATTCATCCAAGTAAGTCTTGCTCAAGCTAATCTTATAGACAGTGAAACCTGTTTTAACGTTGATGGGGAAGTTTATGACAGTGATGAAGTCATACTCACTTGCCTTCCAGGAATGATAAATCTGTTTGGAGAACCCTACAAGATTCAATAAAAATTATTTAATGTGGGGTTTTGGGGTTTTGGGGTTTTGGGGTTTTGGGG